ATATTTTCAAATGAATATAATTTTAAAATATTTTAAAATATTTAAAATATTTTTTGGCATATTAAAAATATTTTTAAGTTAATCTGATTTCAAAAATATTTTCAGTGAATAAGATTTTAAAATACGAGTTGTTTATACAATCATATAACAAATCCTTTTTTTATTTTGCAAAAATGTTCACATATACCATAAATAAATGCTGTTACTGGAGTTCAAGTTTATCTCGGAAGTTCATTCCTATTAAATGCTGTAAACAATCAGTAAAACGTTTGTAGGAGTTACCGCCTCCTTAGTTCCCTAATTCTTCACCAGGGTCTCTCTCCCCATGCTGTAAATACCGGGCGACCTCTTGCCTCGATCTGTTTTTTTCCTCAGGCCTCGTGCCGCATTCCACCTCGCGTGGAGGTGAGGTAAATCTCTTTTCTTCTTCATTTCAGTGACAAGATGTAAGCTCTTAGAAGATCAGCGTTTTCCCATTTCTGGAAAACGTTATGAACATTACAAACATTCACCAAAATAACATTCACCAAAGAATACATACAATGTTATGTCTAAGTGCCTTGTAACTTGTTTAATATATATTTTGTTGATATATATATATATATATATATATATATATATATATATATATATATATATATATATATATATATATCTGTCTTGTTTGTCTTTCATCTTCGCTTGGACAAATTAAGTCCGCCAATTTTCATGTAGTTGGATCTTTTAATATTCTACCAGGAGTTACACACGTGTTTCTAATACAACAACACGTAAATATACAGACGTTTCTCTACACGTTAAACACGAACTTGTAAACCAGAACAATGATGACATAAACGAATTGAAGTATATAAGTAAGCACACCAGCAGTTCGTATTGGAACTGTCCAGACAAAATTAAAACTCTTCCAAACTCTTCAATGGAGCAACTCATAGTGGTATTCAGAAACAAAATAAGAAGGGTTCGAGCCTGTATTGATGCGTCACTTTCGACATTGTTTATAATTTTCATTCATATTCTCCTCCTGTATTCTATCTTGAAATACGTCTCTGTCTATATTTCTTAGATGAAGTATTATGTACATTATTTACATTATTCGGACTATTGTCCTCATCTTTGTCGCCATATTTATTACAACGTTTCGGCCTTTCAGTATCTGTCTATATTTCTGAGATGAGGTATTATGTACACTATTTACATTATTCGGACTATTGTCCTCATCTTTGTCGCCATATTTATTACAACGTTTCGGCCTTTCAGTATCTGTCTATATTTCTGAGATGAAGTATTATGCACACTATTTACATTATTCGGACTATTGTCCTCATCTTTGTCTCCATATTTATTACAACGTTTCGGCCTTTCAGTATCTGTCTATATTTCTGAGATGAAGTATTATGTACATTATTTACTTTGTCGCCATTTTATTATTTTCGACTATTTTGAGATCCTCATTATTCTTTGTCCTCATCTTTGCGCCATATTTATTACAACGTTTCGGCCTTTCAGTATCTGTCTATATTTTGAGATTATTCGGACTATTGTCCTCATCTTTGTCTCCATTTTATTATTCAGTATCTGACTATTTTCTGAGATCCATTATTCATTGTCCTTTTTGTCGCCATATTTATTACAACGTTTCGGTCGTTGTGCGCTTCTTAGTCGAACTGAAACCTTTATTTCTCTCACTGGGGTAGACTGTTCTAGTTCCACGTGCCATGTTTTTAATGGATGTCAGTTATCAGTTATCTCCTGTTAATTCCCCTCTCCAAGATCTCCACTGCCTTAACTCACACTCTTTGCGTCCTGTCACTGGATCTAATCAACGCCGTTAAGGACATCTGTGTATGAATTTCTGGGTATTATAAACCTAATGTCTTCAGCAACCATTTTTTACCAGAGAAAAGCGATGAAAACAACAAAAATTGCAATCCGAGGTCTGGTAAAAACATGAAATGATAACAGCAAAAATTGCAATATGAGCACTGGAAACGTTGTAATAAATATGGCGACAAAGATGAGGACAATAGTCCGAATAATGTAAATAGTGAAATATGTCTGTTAATAAAAAAATATATAAGTGTATAGTGACTTTCCGAACACCCTGTATAAGAAATGAATAAAACCGTATCTCCAAAACACTCTGCTGCGGAAAGTTGTAAACAATATGTGGCGCTGCCTTCGTAACAAGGAACTAATGGCGGCAGATTAAAAAAAAGTTCCGGGCTATGGGTTTTACCGGACCACAGAGTGGATTAAATATGGCTGACTGTACTTGTAAAAAAGTTGTGTTCTTGGACTCACTAGAAAAGAGCAAGCAATAACCGATAATAACTAAAAATAAGAATATCCCTAGCCCTGGGCAGTGGGACAAGGATAGGCAAGCATAGATTACACAAATGGTTCAGTTCAGAATTCCTTGTAGGTTACCCAGATTGATATACACCTAATGAAACCCGGAGGGCACAACGGTGATAACAACAATGACGATAAGGATAATAGTCTAAAAAAGTGTAAATGAGTAAATGCCTAGTTTCTATTTAAACTAGTGTAACGAATAATCGCAGTACGTTAGGTTTAGTTCCTTATGAAAGAATTCTGGTCTGTTCCATAAGCATCTCCCCGGAAATTCTTACACCTTTCCTGCGCCGGAGCTTAAACGAATTTATAAGCGCAATGCTTAATTTTAAACATCTTGGCACCTTTCAATGTTTTCCGACACTTCAAACTTTTCTGTTTTACGCTTCTTACATTTATTACATTTAGCATCATCATCTGTATCTTCTGGTTCCTAAATGGGTAACTATGCAACTACATATAAGAAACGAGCAAGACCGTACCACCAAAACACTCTGTTGCTGTGGCGCTGTCATCATAGCCGCTCAACAAGCTAATGGAGACTGATTTAAAAAAAAAAAAAGGGTATTGGGAGTTGACCACGAAGTGTCGGATTAAAGAAGTAGGATAGTAGTACGTTTTAAAATGTTTATTACCATTCCGTGTTCATTGTTAATGTTGTGGAGTAGCTGAACACCCCCACAAAATTAACATTGTTAATGTTGTGGAGTAGCTGAACACCCCCACAAATGACCTGGTTTAAATAAACAGCACTCTCTCTTACTGAGGGAGAGCAGTTAACGATTACAGTTAACTCTGCTTGTCGGCCTCTCTGCCTTCGGGCAGAGAGGAACCCAGACGAAGCTATGCCTACGGGCGGATTCTCGTCTGGGGAGGTAGACAGCTACCCGATCCTGTGTATACGAGGTCTACGGGTAATTTTTGCCTGGCTCGGGACACCCCACGTAAAAAAAACCGGCCTTGTACCACATCCTGCCTTGTGGAGAGGTCTCGGGTAAATACCGAGGATTTAACGATTAACTGTTTATTATATTTAGTCCCTGTTCTCAACTGTGTACCATATTATTTCTCCGAAATAATCTACTTCTTATTTTCTGTGTGTCAACCTTTCCTATTTACGACACAACAGTTAACACGATAAATGACTGCAAATAGAAATAGCAAAAGGGACGAGCAACAAAGGACGATGAAATATTGCTTCAAGAAAGAAAAATTTCTTTGTTTCGAAAGAAAATCTCTGTGACAAGCAATTGTCTCTTCTTAAATCGCGGGTAAATAAAATTCACTCACTATCATTTTTTTTTTTTTTTATGTCCGACCCACTCATTTAAATATAAACAAACAAATAGACCAATGATTCTGACTGTCTTTCTCTCAAAGTAACATTATGGAACATTTGAGGACGGGGGGGGGGTCTGGGTCTCACTACTTTATCTATCTCCTTTTGCCACAAACTTCATCGACTCTTCCTTCGCCATCTTCCATCTCGTTCTTGATATTACAAACTTTCAAGCACTGTTAGCTTCTGGCGACCTCTTAAATTTCAATTTTTTCTTTTTTACTTTATTCACGATTTACTTATTTGAAATTTGACTCTTTTTGTTGTCGAGTTCGTTCCAGATTTCGTTGTTACTTTCCCTGCATACATACACACGCGCGCGCGCACACACTCAGACACACACGCGCGGGCACACACACGCGCGGGCACACACACGCGCGGGCACACACACACACACACGCGCGCGGGCACACACACGCGCGCGCGCATACACACAACCACATCCTCTCTTTCTTCCCCTCTTTCCCTCTCCCTCTCTTTGTGCCATTCAGGATATGGAGAATCGTGTACTCCACAGCCTCCCCACTTTTGTTCCTCTCAGCAATACTTTCACCTATATGACTCCTCTTTGTTATTCCGTTTCTCCATGCATTTGCTAACGCTTGTCAAGTACGTTCACTTTCTTTTTCAATATATATATCTTTTTCATGGGTGATTATGGCTCTCCACAGCTTCCTGTCCTTAGATGCTCTAAGACCCCTCTTTGTCATTTTCCTACTTGTTCCTGGATCCATGTACTTGTCAAGTAGATTCACTCTCTTCTTCGATGTGTTATGTCCCTACCGAACATGGGTGATTAAGGCTCTCCACAACTTCCTGCCCTTTGTTGCTACTTACGACCCCTCTTTGTTATTTTCCTACTTGTTCCTGCATCCATGTACTTGTCAAGTACATTCAATCTTTTCCTCGATGTGATGTCCCTACAGAACATGGGTGATTATGGCTCTCCACAGCTTCTTGCTTTTTGTTGCACTCAGCCATACTTCTTTCCTTTTCGACGCCCTTTGAGGTATTTGTTCTTCCGTCCATTTGCTCAAACTTGCCAAATAGTTACATTGATTGATTGATTCGTTTTTTACGGCTTACCAACCCTTTGCAAGTTATTTGAAGCCAGAAGTTAATGGTTTAGTGATACAAGTCTTACTAATTAACCCATAGCTGGGAGGGAGAGAAGCGGTAGATTCACACCTTTCCCAAGGCTATTTGCACGTAAGTGAATATAACGAACCCAACTGAAATTGGAACTCGGCTCTCCGGTTAACAATTCCGAGCCGTTATCCATTGCACCACCCGCACACCCAAGCTTACAGCACGTGGTATTCCCAAGCAATCACCCATCTAGATACTGACCAGGCTCGACGATGCTTAAGTTAGGTGATCATATGGGAATCAGTGTTTCAACGCTATATGGCCGTAAGTCTTCAAGCAGGTGCACTTTGAATGTAGCATGTCCCTGCGGGACATGAGTGATTACTGCTCTCCACATTTTTCTGTCTTTTGTTACTCTCAGCTTTCTCGTTGTAATATTTGTTTCTCCATCCATTTGCCAAATAGTTTCACGTTTTACTTTCAATGTTCAGTGCGCATGGGGGATTATGGTCCTCTACAGCTTCCTTTCTTTTGTGGTATCTGTTCCTTCATCCATTTATTCAAACTTGTCAACAATTTATTTAGTCATTTTTTTCCTTTGCTTCTTTTGCTTTAAATGCATCGTGTGCTTGTAAAATTCTCCAAGACTTCTTTCTTTGCGATGTGCTCCCCAAATTTAAGTTTTCTCTTTTCGATTATCAACAATCATTTTGTAGCTCTTAAGTTCTTACAACTTCCTCATTTGTCATATGTTCTGTCCTTGGTATTTACAGCATTCATCTGTGATACTCACGTTGAAAGGGAAGTGATGGTTTTATTTCGATCTCCAGTTTTTCTGTTTGACAAACCGGCGGATAGTTCCTTTTCAAGTTCGGTCTTTAAGAGATGTGGAATGTGTAGTAAAGGAGTGGATGAGGAATTTTTGCGGATCAAGTGCCAACAAAATCGGAAATAAGGTATATCCGAGTGACGGTCAATATTAACAGCCATGCTTGGGATCGAGGAGAGTTCTGGTTCACCCTTGGCGGGAGACGGACGTGTCAGGCGTGCGGTTCCGAAGCCTCTATTCACATCGTCAGCCACCTCGTCAGGATGTCAATCAATGCGTTACAAATAATTTCGGCAGTCTTTAACTTTCGTGCCAGCCAAAAAAAGGTGTCAAAAGACGGTTGGTAGAGGGAAGAGCTGACCAGTTACCTATCCACCGACCGGACAAGCAAGCGAATCCCTGAATATAGGAAAAAGAACCTATTTCTAACATATAATTACATACAAGCATATGAATCGGAATGCAACTTGGGGTGATCATTGGCCGGTCGGTGGGAAGTCTGGGTGAGGGTAGCGTTCTATTTTTACACATCGGCTCAGCTACAACTCAAGTTTATCTAGGTAGCTCGAATTCTTAAGATTTCTTTCAATAATAATAATAATAATTTTTGTTAGAAACACCCGTGAAAATTTTCTATTTAAATTTTCTAACGAATTTTAATTCTTCAATGATTGAATAAGCAGTCTCATGGAGATTTCTACAATAATAAAATATCAGTAGAAATTCGTCTATCGCATCATTAGATATTTAATAACGACCTTAAAATATTGCAATAACAATCATAAATATTAATACTGTTGTTATTTTAAGAAGTGGGTACAAATGGAAAGGTTTAAAATTGAAAAACTTTTTTCATTTCACTGAAACAGACGTTAAACACTTATCTTCTTTCTTTCTTTCTTTCTTTCTTTCGTTTATTTTCTCACTGAAATCAAGTACGGTTCTTCTGAGAGAAACAACTCATCCAGTCTTAAAATAACTATTCCGTCAGGTTTCTTATTCTTCTGTCTCCAGGACGAAGTTTTCATGTCTTCTGACGTCTTTTCGTTCCTTCCAGTTCAAAATTACATATATTACCTTCAGGTCGAAAACCATATTAACATCTGAATTTTTCCGCTGACCCGTCGTCTTATATAACAATCGAAGTGACTCCAGGTGGATCTTAACTTTAAATTTACATGGGCAGAATCCACCCTTTTGATTGGACAATAAATACAAAGAGTAAATATTTTTCAAATTTGAAATATGAATTTCCAAACAGTCCGGCACGACCGAATTATTTTTGACGTTTCTTTTAGAGCCGATTGTAAATGGCGTAGAAGAACTTTTGCAGACAAATTTAACGCATTTAACTGATTTATATATATATATATATATATATATATATATATATATATATATATATATATCATCTGGCTTTCTTTTTTTAAATACAGTGAGCCTCCGCCTATTCGCGTTTCAGCATTCGCGGTTTCACACATTCACAAATTTTTCTTTAGAACATATTTACTTGTTATTGGCGAAAACCCCGAATATTCGCGTGTTTTTATGAAGAACTTATGTATAAATTATTCGCTGAGAACTCTCTCGGTTCGATTTAAAATATTCTTGTATTATTTTCCTATTATTTAAGTGGCTTTAAACAGTCAATTTTTATGGTAAAAATTGGCAGAATTGTACATCGTCATTGTAAAAAACAAACGCAAAAACATGTGTACTGTAGTGCTTGGGCTTTGTTCTTTGTTAGAAGCTGCGGCTGGGGTCATAAAAGTGGCTTATGCTAAATCTGGGGCATCTTCACAGTTCTCTTTTTTAAAATTTTTAAATTTTATTTTTTTGTACAAAAATGTTTTAAATTTTATATTTATCTTGTTACACATATTTTATACAGTATTTTCAATGGTTGTATCGATCTATGCGTAATTAAAAACGGTTGTTGTACGTATGAAAGAAAATTTTCTCTAAGTCAACAATACTATTTTTCAAAAATGTTTTTAAAAGGCCTGAAATGTTTCTAAAGTGTTTAGGATGAAAGTTTACGGCATATGAGGTTTTAACAATCAAAATAGGTACTTTAAAGCACTTAGGGGGCGTACAACTGTTCGCGGATTCTAACTCTTCACGGCCGGTTCTGGTCCCTAACCCCCCGCAAATACGGGGGACTCACTGTACACTCTTCAAACAAAGCGTAAAAGACGAACCTAGACTATTATAATATTTATTTATAATTATCTACACCTCTTATTCATCATTATTTTGAATTATTCTGTATTACTTAGTAGTAATATTTTTGTTACATACACCTGATGAAGGCCGGAGGGTATAACGTCGGAAACGTTAACAACAACAAAGATAAGGGCAATAGTCAGCATGTAAGTAGTGTAAATAATGATAACTCCCCTATCCAGAAATTAAGACAGATTGCAATAAGGATATTTTCCAGAGCGCCCATGTCTCTATCGAATGTAACACGAAGTCGAGGATTAATTTGGTTAACGGCAAAAAACCGTGAGAAAATTTCCCAAGCCACTCGGCACTTCTCCTTTTGAGGACTCCTCTCATGAAGGAGAGGTACTGCCTGAGGAGAAGCCTCCCACCCCTGGGATTTGGGGCTTAATAGTTTTTAAAACTTCCCAGCATGTGCCACGGAAACGTAATAAGTTGTCTAACGGCTTGAAGTTTCAGCCTCACTAGAGAACTTAAACAACATCAACATATCAATGTTACTTTCCTTATAAAGTCGCGAAATGCCATCTTTTCTTCAAAGAAGCTTTTTACAATTTCTCTCCGAGCAGTCAGTGTCACGGCTCTTTCCATTAATTATTCAAATTACTACGGTTGTTAAAATTTCTGTTAAACGCGGATAACTGAAGTCACGGAACGCAAAAACCGTGAATAATGGGGGAGCATAACTGAATCTTAATAAAATTATTAATGAAATTGGTATTTATTTTTTTGTATTTTATATATATATATATATATATATATATATATATATATATATATATATATATATATATATATATTTGGTTGGATTTTGTGAGTTTCTGAGTTTGTGAAGACTTAAGTTTCTACGAATTTTTTAATCGTCAGACAAACTGATTAATTTTTTTTTTAATTTTTGGGGTTTATAATAATACTAATACACGCAATCTACATAAACCCAAAATTTAAAAAAATAATCAGTTTGTCTGACGATCGCAAAAAATGAAACCCAGGGTCATAAAACTCACATCAATCCAACCAAATATGTTAGCTCTATCTCTGATATTGAGCGCTTTCTAATAAGTACCGTGCATATAATATATAAATAATATATATATATATATATATATATATATATATATATATATATATATATATATAAGCAAATATATGGATATAAATCGTTATTGATAAAAGATTAAAAAATATATGAAAAAAACAAACAAAAATCCTCATATACAATTATTTATATTTTTTGTGTTAATATGTCAACGTCGGACGTTTTCGGTCTAATAAACCATAATAATAATAACATAATAATATTATAATTTATGAATATGTCCTGAAGATGGTTTATTAGACCGAAACGTCCGACGTTGACAGATTAACATTAAAACAGCATAATTGTATATATAGATTTTTTTGTTTGTTTTTTCCGTATATATTTTTATTATATATATATATATATATATATATATATATATATATATATATATATATACACACACACACACACACACACACACACACATATATATATATATATATATATATATATATATATATATCTTTAGTCTTTACTGTAACTTTTAGTATGAAGAAGTTTAAAATAAAGACGAAAAAATTAAATAGAAAAACGATGTGTGAAGAAGAAAAAAAAAACAACTCTTAAAGTACACAATAGAATTCAACTTTTCGCGCGTTTACTGTGACCTTCACCCAGGGCACCGAAATGGCAAAAATCTATTTCCGAGTGTGGAAATTTAAATAGAGAGAACCTCTTATTTGTCTTGTAACGTAACTTACAACAACATAACGCTTCTTATACAATTTCTTTTTCTATAGCTCGATTTTTACAGATTTTGGCTTCTCCTAGTTTAGCGTCCCAAATTAACACAATTGCTGTCAGCGTGAGGGTACACGTTTAGTTACAACTGAAAAAAAAAAAAAATTCAATTTTTTTCGACGTCATAGTTTTTCTTTATCTATTTTTATTTTTACTGCTATTTGCATTTTTTATTTACTAGTTTTTTTAACCTGTGAAATTTAGGTTTTCCTATTTTAGTATTCTGAAGTTAATGATGGCGGGTTCTACGGCAATAAAATATTCGTAGAAATTCCCCTATCGCATCGTTAAATATTCGAATTTAATAACTTTGACAAAAATATTGCAATAACAATTAAAAATGAATGCTCGTCGTTATTTTAAGAGGTGGGCACAAATGAAAATATTTAAAAATGACAACTTTTCCCATTTCACTGGAACAGACATTAAACACTTCTTTCTTTCTTTC